ATAAATATATATTGTATTAGTAGAAATGATCTTACTGATTTTGCTAAAACACCAAACATGCATGAAGTCATGAATTGTGCTAGGACTATTCTACGAGAGAGGTCGCGCTATGTTCGTTTTCCACAGTTTTTCGTAAATTTACTGTTATTTGTTTATACAAAATAAAATTTAGTTTAAAGCAGCCGTAAGTACTTTTATATCATTTTTTTTATTGGTTTTATTTTTTAAATTGTTTAACCGGTTACATTTAAGAAATAATGTTTTGTTCCTAGTAAGCAAGTATTTAATTTTCATACTTCTTTAAAATATATACATTCAAAATATTAATCAAATTATTAAAAATGTAATTGCTTTCTTTGAGGTCATTGTATATTGTCTAAATCCAATAAAAAGAGCTCTAAGAGCTTAGTCTAAACTTATTAAAACGCCAAAGGTCAACGATATTTTGAAATTAGCTTATTCACCTGTCCACCAGGTGGCGAATCAACTGAACGTTCATTAACCGTTATATCATTTCTACCTGCACAGAAAGTTCATGCGCAGTACGATTTTAAAAGCATGCATTGCATTTGGAACTCGTGTTTCGTATCGTTTAAGTAGCGCGTCGAGGTTGTTAGTCTTGTGGACTGTTCAATGAAAAACTCTGTTTGTATGGTTGTTTTATTCGAAAGTGTGATGCAGTGTTATTATTTTGATGGTAAAATACCATGTTAAGTTGCAAATTAATATGCACATTATTGATATGCAAGTTTTTTAAACCAGTGTTTATGCTGTGCGCTTAGCTACAGGTGTTTGTGTTTGAAAACTATCTAGTCAGTTGTGCGGTGGTAAATGAGCATGGGAAATAAGACGAAATGTGTTGTTTTTCGGTTTTACGTTGTCTTCTAAACTTGCCGGAATGTTTGTATGTGGAATGAACTGTTTCGTTGAAAAAATAGCAATTGAAACAGCAATGGAAGAGGAGGAGAGGAAAGGTTACATTGGTGGTTATGGAATTAACAAAAAAGTTATCACGATCGTCTTTTTTATAATGCTGCTTTCAACATCAGTTTCTGGTGAGTTAAAGTTTTCATTTTACAGTTTCAAAAACAGCTGCAATTTGTTGGTAGGTATTTTATTGTTTAAATCTATTGAGCATTTTGACGGTGTAATAGTTTAAAATAATCCGTTGACTAGGTAGTACTTAGACAAAATTGATTATGTGATAAATCTGCATTAGTAGAGTGGTACTATTGTAATTTACATTCAAGGATGTAATTCGTTAAAAACTATGCGAAATAGAAAGGTTGAAATTGTTAAGAATAACTCCTTGGTTATTACTAACATTTTGTTGGTACATTCTCACGATAGTTGAAATTATATGTAACCAGGTACCTAAACAGAAAAAAGTTATTTAAGGTACTGCTTACCTATTCATCAATGTGGTCTTTATATTGCTGCAGTTACAAAAATTTTAAAATTTGTTAATATTTTAGTGCAATTTATAGGACCTACTAGAAAAAAAATTAAAACATGTTATTTACCTTTTAAACCTTTTTTATTGGTAAAATATTTAAATTTGTTTTAGGTACTCTTAAAATGAGAATTGCAAAGAAGTATTGTTTTCTTGATATTTGAATTAGATTGCTTATTTCTACTTGTAATCAAATTATTTAATGTTTTTTATTTCTATTACTCTACCTCCCTGTACTATTTTATGGTATGTATTTGTTAAACAATTGATAATTACCTATAAATGAAAAGTTTTAAATAATCTTTACATACCTACGTTGAAAGCTTTTAAACAATAATTTTTGTGTTATTGTTACTCACTTCCAATTATAGTTTAAATGGTATGTAAGCAATGGCCTTGAAGGATCATTAAATCTTATGGACCTATTAACTATTATCTATATGAATACATTTGCAATATTCTACTCATTATGAGTCAGATTGCATTTTAATTGCCTTTAACTACCAAAGACCATTTTGTGCAGAACCCTGACTTTAAACAGTTTATTCTGTACATTTGGAAGAAATTTTAGGTATATCCTGGTAACTTTTGCGAAGGAAAAGATACCTACCTGTACTTAGGTGCATTAAAATTTTTAATCTTGCCTCTTGCTGAATTTTTTAATGAAAATAAATTAATNCAAAGGTATATTTAAAAAAATATCGTTTTTTTTGGGTCATTATATAATATCCATTTTAGTATCGAGTTCTTCTAAACGGTTGTGGATATGCCCTGTTTGGCGTTCCACCATGTGATTTGGAGTCAACGTGGAAGAAGGATTTGAGCTCTCCTCCAGGTAGATCTCCGTTATTAGAACCAAAAGAAATTCATACCATCACTAGTTCAGAGGTGAGTCAGATCAATTAAGAAATTATCACATCAGCCTGAGCTAATATACTCATTTCCTTAAAACTGAAACATCCTTCATCCCTAACTATTTGCTAATGGTGATTTAATTTAGATCCCCCTCTGCCATCTTTAGGTACTCCTGTTTCTGTTTCTTATATATATCTCTAAAAGCAAACCCTTCATTGCTCAGAAGGCAGAAGGTATCCCACCATATTTTCCCCATTTGAAATGATACGAGAAATTTTGGACATTGAAAATTTATTTTTAGGAAGCAGGAATTTTAACAAGGGACATAAGTCAACGACGATTTTCTAAGACCAGGCTTTATACTGCTGGAAGGATATTACATATCGTAAATAGAAAAAAGACAAAAACTGAAAGGTAAATTTCAGTCAGTGTAAATAGATGATATCTTGTTAGACGTAATTGGTAATTTTTTTATAATTCAGGAAAAATGGTACAGGCGGACCCAGCTATGAAATGCGGTGGGCAACTGCTGAAGATTTCATGGAGCTGAAGGTGATGCCTAGAATGCTGTACGATCACTTGCCTCATAATGTTTACAATACTTTAGATACTATTTTACGGGAACAACGAGACGATATTAGTGAAGTGACGCATATTTAGGAAGGTTGAAAAAGTCAATACTTACTATTATGTGTAAATTAGGTACATAATTTAACATGTTCATTGTGTAGTTCCTAGTTCCTAGTTGAAACAAAAAAGAACACCCTGTATATATTCATTCCATCGACGACAATGTCTAAATTAGTTCATAAATCCTTTAGTGATTTAGTATTACGCATTAATGTATTATTTTTACAATTTTGAAGCCAGTATATGAAGATAAATATTATTCTAAGGTTGCTGAAGAATTAATTTGTTATCATACACATACTTAATAACTTAATATTATGCAGTAAGTCTAACTTCTTACTATTTTCATTTCACTTACGTTAGATATTATTCACATTCCGCTTATTTGTAAAGGTTTTGATCAGAAAAATGTTATTAACTTAATTATTATATTATTATTTTGTATACGTAACTATTATTTAGATTGTTTTTGTAAATATACCTTTTCTATTTCTACTTTTTTTTGTGCGATACTTGCATTTCTTAAATACAAGGAAAATGCTATAATTCTATATTCTCAATTTTATAAATAAGGAGCCTTTTTCTTATTCATAGGACAGGTCAATAACCTTACGCTCGTACGGTGTAGTATTTTTTGAATATGAATGACCACTATTATCAACGAACAATCCATCAATGAGAACGATCAGCTTGATTCTGATTGGACAGCGGTTTACCACGAAAAGCGACAGCCAATCAAAATATTTATATGATTATTTCAAACATGGAAGTCAAAAACAGAATAGTTGCCAGTAACTGCCAGTCTTCACAAGGGAGAGGAAGTTTGAAATTTTAAAAATAACTTATTGATCCTACGCACTTTCAGTTACGGAATCTATGTACCTACTGAAAACTATTTTTTATTAGGCTTTCAAGCTATATTCAACAAATATTAGGATGCTGCTTTTCATTAACTTGTCCAAAGTAATAAACTAATTTGCGAATAAAATTGTGGTTTATCAGTTATCAGCAATGAAGATTATTGAGCATTAACACAGTAATGAAAGTTTTAAAAATAAGTTATTGCTCAGATAGACATTTTTAATTCATTAATCTTTGATCCATAAAATTATAAAAAACTTTGAATCTAATTGTTATTGTAATTTGTATATCTTCGAGGAGGGAAAGCGTATTTACTCACACAGTAATAAATATTTTTTTTAATAAACGATTGAGTACTATTAATATCCTGTAGTTACTCACTAGGAGGTAGCGTACACATTCGCGTTTGTATTCCATATTCTGTTATGTAATAGAGATGCGATAACTTTCCAATGCAAGAAATTAAAATGTTCATAGAGGGTTAATATTGATTTGTATCTCCCTTGTTTAATATTGAGAAGAACACGTAGGTATTACACGTTCATTTTTCTTAGAGAATTTAACAAATAATTGTATACTTTTTGTAAAAGAAAAGAGGTATTTTAGTTTAAAAGATGTTTCATATCATCATAATTTCAAAAATAAAAGAAGTGATAAAAGTCTATCGCTGTATATAGCAATTAACATGTGCATATTGAAATGTATCCGTACTAACACATTTTACAATTAAATTAATATGTTCCTTAAAATATTATTTTATGAAAGTACGAATAAAACAGTTACTGTAAACTCTTTTAAGACAGCAATTTACAAAGTAGCCTGTTATTTATTAATTTAATTAACTGCATTACGTTCATAGCTAGGTTAAATACTTAACGTTTGGTGGTTAAATAATTAATATATGCAGAAAACATCACGTGCGGTTCAACACGCCCACATCTCTATTCGCTGTGTTTAAATAAAAAATGTTAAAAGGTTTGGTTAGATTTGAAAATGAGTTGAGATGGTTGTTGAAAGTTGTATGTGGTATAACAATTGCTTTAAGTGCTGAAGTTAATAGTTGCTTACCTTTAATTTGATGTTTTTTATCATTTAATGAGATGAATATATTTTTAAAATGTGAATAATAAGACGGCTCATTAGCAGCGTAAGTTATTACTTACCATTTACCTATTGTAATGATCACTTTATTGCTTTTGACTTTTTGCTTGCCAGTGTAATTATATAAACAATTATTTGTTGTGGACCATACAGTAATTTATTAATATGCTTCGTACTTGTTTACGTATAAAATTGAAAATTCTAATAATCTAACCTATAAATGTTTGTCAAAAATCGACAGAAGCAGAAAAAATATCAAAATTTCTATTTATTTTAAGTTTCAATTTAGAATTATTTATTGGTTTTAGGAAATGGTTGTAAAAACACATTCGAAACGTAATGTTAGAATTTTGCTGGTTGGAGATCGTGGGGTGGGAAAGACATCCTTAATACTTTCTCTTGTAAGTGAAGAATTTCCTGAAGATGTGCCACCAAAAGCAGAAGAGATTACAATTCCTGCCGACGTTACGCCAGAACAAGTTCCAACTAACATTGTTGATTATTCCTCTGTAGAACAAAGTGATGAACAGTTAAATGAACAAATTAAAAAAGCTAGTGTTATTTGTGTTGTGTATTCTGTAGATGATGATGATACCATCGATAGAATTTCATCATTTTGGATGCCTCTCATTAGGCAGAATCACCCTGACACTTCATGTCCTGTTGTTTTGGTTGGAAATAAAATTGATCTTGTTGATTATTCTACAATTGAGGTGAGCTTTTAAGAAACCATAGCATTAGTTACATAATGATTCAGTCTTCTTCCTTTCTTCTAGTTTCTGCTATTTTCACAATAACCCACTTTTTTCATATTCTACTAGTTTCAAGTCTTTTAATAAACTAATGGTTATGCTTGATATTTTAAATTAGTATGATGATAATTTCTATAATATTTTTAGGGTGTGTATGCAATTATGGAAGATTTTTCTGAAATCGAAACCTGTATTGAATGTTCTGCAAAAACACTTAAAAACATTTCAGAAATGTTTTATTATGCACAAAAGGCAGTTTTGCACCCAACAAGTCCTCTTTATAGTGTAGAGAAAGCAGATGTAAGTCTAAAGATGCCTCACTTGTTGAACTATACATGATAAAGTTGTATTCTTGTAGCTTACAGATGCATGTCAAAAAGCCTTAATTAGAATTTTTAAAATATGTGATATTGATAATGATGGTTTATTGAATGACATTGAGCTGAACAATTTTCAAAGCAGGTGTTTTAATGCACCCTTGCAGCCTCAAGTCCTTGATGATGTTAAGGCAGTACTTAGAAAAAACATTGAAGAGGGTGTTCAGAGTAATTGTGTAACACTCAAAGGATTCTTATATTTACATAGTTTATTTATTCAGAGGGGAAGGAATGAAACAACATGGACTGTATTAAGGAAATTTGGCTATAATGATAATTTAAATATGTCAAAAGATTATTTATTTCCAGTGTAAGTGTCTTTTATTTTATTTTAAATTTCGAAACATTTAAAGTTAGCCTTTTTATTATTTAGTTTGAAAGTTCCACCTGGCAGTACAACAGAACTGTCATATAAAGGCCAACATTTCCTAATGCAGGTCTTTGAACGATTTGATAAGGATAAAGACCAAGCTTTATCACCTAGTGAATTTGATGATCTCTTCTCAACTTGTCCAAGTCCACCTTGGGGACCTGAAAATAGTGCAATGGTGTCTTCCAATGAAAAAGGGTGGATTACTTACCAGGGATTTATGTGCCAGTGGGCCCTAATGACACTTGTGGATTTACCCAGAACATTTGAATATTTTGCATATTTAGGATACAGTATCTATGAAAATGAGAGCCAGATAAGCGCAGTACAAGGTAAGAGTTTTATCTTCAATTTAAATTTGTTTGTTTTTTATTTTAAACTACCAGACACTGTCTTTACAGAAGCAAAATTTCATTTCATGGAGCTTTGGAGAGACATGCTAATTAAAAAACGAAATAAATACGAAAATATTTCATAACATCCTTTTCTTCTTTCTTTAAATAATTATTTTTATCTTCAACAGTTACTCGAGAAAAGAAGGTGGACTTGGCAAAAAGACAGTCCAGTAGGAATGTTTATCAGTGTCACGTAATTGGACCAACTGGATGTGGTAAAACCACGTTTTGTAGAAATTTTGTTAAGGGTGGAATCGAGGTAAATTCTTAAATGTATTCTAATAGAATTTAGTACAATATAACATTTTTTAGAAAGATGCACCTTCATATTCTACGGGTTCACCAAAATGCACTGTGAATTATGTGCAGGCAAGTATTTATTATCACTTTTTCATTTATGGCAGTTATAAAGACTTTCATCCTTGTCTGTGAAATTAAATCTAACATAAATCATTATTTTTAACTCATTAGGTTTATGGTCAGGAAAAAATAATGATACTTAGGGATATAAATATTAGGAGTATGTCAGACCCTCTACTTCCTAATGAAGTCCAATGTGATGTAGCTGCATTGATGTATGATGTGAGCAATCCTAAGTCCTTTGAATATATTGCAAGAATATACATTGTAAGTTACATACTTCTTTTTGGCAAAATTTAAAGTTATGTTTTTGTTTTTCAGAAATATTTTGCCGAAAGTAAAATACCCGTTTTAGTAGTTGGATGTAAGAGTGATCTGGAAGAAGTGAAGCAAGAGTATATCCTGCAGCCCACAACGTTTTGTCAGAAGTATAAAATCATTCCACCTCAATCTTTTAAAGCCAAAAGTCAGGTGCAAAAGGACGTTTATGTAAAATTAGCTACCATGGCAGCATTTCCGTAAGTTTAAATTTTAACTATAAATGAGCGATTTTAGTATTCCTTTTAATGAATGCATTTATAGTTTGAAAAACATTTTTTTAAATTTAATGTGGTTCCTTTTATATTTTAATTGAGAAGTGAAGTAATTTCAAATTCTTTTAAGTTACAAAATAATTTCGTTTATTAATAATTTAAGGTAAAATTTCATAGTTTAATAATAAAACATAAGGGAAATATACTGTGAAATTCGCCCTTAATAATACTCTAACTTCTATAATATATTAATTTAATGATATTAAACGGATGAAATTTTGTTGGAACATTAATCGTTTAAGCATTGCAATAATTATTTTTGATAAATACTAAGTTATTATTTTTCATAGTCGGTTTCAAGCTGCCTGGATACTGTTCTACCGACACAGGTTTGTTTTAAAACTTACTCGTTGATAATCTTCTTCTTGATTCTACGATCACGCAGTTAATATCATGCTTTTTATCTAGTTCAATGTATGTAGACTCAAGTATGGTAAACATTTAACATAATACATATGTGTATTAAAACATCTGGTGGGCAATTGGGTTAATAAATACGCACACATTATTATGTGAACATAATATCATAAAAGTACAATTTAATAATCTATTTTATACCCATGGATTTCGTGGTATTTGTTTATATAAAAGTGCACTGCAAAATAAATAAATAATTTTCTGCGTAGGTAATTTTTTAAACCTAAATAAAATTCAGATTTTGTTTAACTGCTTAAACGATTTTGCAGTGTCTGCAGATGTTGAAAAGACAACTTTGCTTATTTTATTTAAATCTTTGTGTTTGTAAAATGTGTCTAGTATTGCTTGAAATAAGGGGTTTTATTTTTATTTTATTTTATTTAACGTATTCTGGGCAGCAACATACAAAATCAATTATTTGTATTTATAATTACAAAATAGCTACTTCGTTCATATAATTTATTTACAGTCCTTTGCGACGCATGGTTCATATGCTGCTGTTGCGTCCAGAACCAAGTGAATGGTTCAGCCAGTTCTGCAGGTTATTTATTCACCTAATACTATTATTTTTACTTAGTTGATACTTACCAAGAGATAACAAACTTTGTAGGCTTTTATTTACTAGTAACCCAATAGCAAGGCTTTCCTGTTTCTTGCAGTTTGAGCACAGTACATATTTTGAAAAGTTTGAGGAATTCAATGTTTAAATCACTTTTCTTCTAGTTTTTCACTGTCTTTTGGGATGCAACAACTCAAGTTTTTAGCAATATACAGTAAATACTCGAAATAAAATAAATATTAAATACAAAATTAACATTAATAACAGACAGCAAGTAATCACATGAACGAAAAAATACGACTGGAGAAATAGCAAATACGGTGGCCTAGCATAATTAATATTTTGTTCACTATCGAATATCTACTGTATTAAAAAAGCCGGACAAGAGCAAATTGTGAGATCACTCACTCAGAAGTAATATTATCTTATTACAAAGAGTAAATACTCGTTGTAGCAAGAAACGTTGTAAATAATCATCCCATATGTGGAGTGGCAACTAAAAGTTTTACATTTTTTAATGTTTAGTTTTTATTGACGCATGTAATATGCTTACAATAATAACCAGCATGAAATGTGTGAAATGCGTTACTTAAATAATTATTTGTCTTGCTTAATGTTTTCATTCTTTGTAATTTGTAAGGTATAATAAAGTTATAAAAACACTATTTTTTTTGCAGGAATTTCAGACAATTTGGTGTAAACTCATCTGATACAGCAATTTGGTGGAAAGCGGGTTTAGGAATAGCTGTAGCTACCGCTTTTGGTTTACTATTCGTGAAAATACTTCACGCATCAGAAAAAATCAGATAGTTTTATCTTAAGCAGTTGACATAATTGGTGCAATACCTCTTAAAAGTAGACTGTTAATAAAAAGTATCCACTTTATTCAAGAACGAACTTAACTGAAGGGCTAAGTAATTAGTTCATGTTTAATTTTTTGGCTGCTTTGTGATTGTTTTTATAATAAATCATTTTTAATTGAGACAGTAGTCTACTTTTGCACCATATTAGTAATATGGTGTCAAAATGCTGCCAAAACAAAATCAATTTATTTTAAGTGCACAATTTTATTGTATATAGTCGTTTTGCTATATTTTTAGTCAAAGGTACTGGAAAAGCTTTATCATTATTGAGCTATATTTATGCAGCATACAGTCGAATAAAAACTACATTTGTTTGGTGGTATATAAGTGCTCTTTTTGTTGTTGTACTGTATATTTATTGTTTTTTAAAGTTTGTAAACACTTCTGTTGTTAAAAAAAAGTATTAAGTTACGGAGACATTTTATGATTAATTTGAAATGCAATATAAATAATAAAAAACACCATTTTTACTATTAGAGAAATATTCCTTTTGAATACTAATAAAGTCTATATTTTGCAATACTCTGTAAGACTGTAATTAAATGTACAATATTTAATTCTGTAGAGTAGCATACAAATTACTCAAAATAAAAAGTAGGTAACAAATTTCTTTTTGTTTTATCAAATTAAGATGAAAAGTGTTAATTTTGACTGAGTATTATCCCTTCTTTGTAATGAAGTCCTTCACCAATAATAAATCTGGTTTTTGCTAAGATAAACAACAGATTAAACAAATTTGTTTATTAAATAATTACATTAGAAGAAAAATCCCAAAATTTTTCCTCCTAAATGTTTTCTCCTTGCTTCTTCATGGTCCATAATGCCACCACTAGTTGTGAGAACTACATATCTGAAACATGAACAGAAATATTTCAATAAACATTTACACAAAAATACAACATTTCTCATGTTATTATTAAGAGTTAACTGTAAGTTATATGGAGTATAAGTTAAAAAATAGCAATCACAAAAATTACCCAAACTGTCGAGAAGGTAAAAGATTGTTAGTCCACTTTTCAATGTGCCTAATTGGAACGTCAAATCTAGGAGAAATAACGCCACACTTATTTAATCTTCCTGTTAAATTTACAACTATTTTTCCTGATCTGTGATCATCGACGATTTCAAATTCACCAATGTATCCATGCTTCATCATCACTGTTAAGAATTTAACGATAACTTTTGAGCATGGGCGAATGAGTACCTGCCTTTTCCCCCTTTTCTCTGCATTGTTTATAGATTTAAGAGCATCACTTAAAACGTTCATTCGAACCATGGCTGTAAATAAAACCGAGGTACACTATTAGGGTAATAACAGCAGAAATTGAAGGTTAGGTGTTTTAAGAATGAATTAACTGAATAACTTCTAACGGACGAAAGAAATATCAACAGAACAACCCAACTGGAAGTATGATAACAACAATTATAATTCATTAAAGAACGGATGGAGTTTAACATTAAATATTACCTCTGATTTATTTATGTTTACCTCACTGGCATACACTTTTAGTGAAAAGGCCACCTAAAAATACATCTCACCGACAGATGGCAGTAGGCAAAATTGTAGCAATTTAGATATGATTTATTTGTTAAAATCGCAAAATAAAAAAGTAGGATACTTATTTAAATAAATATTTAC